CAAATATTCAGATGAAGCAACTTCTTAGATCACATAAGGCTTCAGTTACCTGATGAGGGTGGGGGAGAATGAGAGCCAGCAGGTGTGTGGGTCACCACAGGCACCCAGAGGCCAGCAGCTCTGGTCATGTGGAGAATACTGCAGTTACAGCAGTTACCACAAGAGGGCGGCATAGCTCCGTAAATTGAAAAGACTAGTCATGACTTTGAAGAGAAGCCAGTAATTAATAATTACTGTGAATCACATTTAAATAGCTCCTTTCACCTTCCCCAAATGATCCGAAAGCAGACGACATATAGGAGGGGACCCACTTAAGTGGAGCCCTACATGGGAGACACACAGCACCATTCTGCACCAGGAGGAGAGAGCACCTGCTGCCTTTGGTGGATTGAGGGAGTTAGGGATCATAGGATCGTACTGCCCAGAGTGGAGTTTAGCCAGAACACTGCAGTTCACACCCCTGGTCTTGTGAATGTTCACCTGGGACCTTTAAACACCAAGAAGTCTCAACCTCAGTTTAACACCTCATCTGATGGAACTGCACCTCCTGTGTCCTGTGACCAGTGTCCCTGGTCACCATACTGAGACATTGATTTGGGACTTGGTGCACCCACACCAGTGACAGCAGAAACCTGTTTTTTTCCTTAGAGGTCTCTCGTCCCCGTACAGACCAGGCTAGAAGGCAGGAGCACTGCAGTCAGTACCTGCTTACACTGATCGGACAGTTCAGGTCAGGTCCTGGAGATGCCGAGTCCAGTGGGTCAGACAGGCCACAGGGGAACACCAGTGGGTTTGGGGCAGTCTTGCAAGTTAATTGGTTCAGTTACGTTATGAATGGCCAGCTGTGATCCTGGGAGCGAGAGAGTGCTGGGATTTTCTATCTGTTTAGTGGAGCACATCACCTGCTTGAGAGATAGAAACGCAGTTGTTCCAGGTGTTTGTACCTCGGCGACGCGAGGGGTGACCCCTAACCCCTGTGAGATCACGGCTGTCCTGGATCAGAGCTGGTCCCTCTCGCGCCCACAGGCGGACTGATAAAGATCCCTTCGCCTGCTTTCCAAGAAGTAAACTAAAGTCTTCATCACCTGGTTTCAGCACAGAGGTGTTTTCCTGATTTTAATGCTTGAGTGGTTCAGGAACATTTCAGCAGCCTGACCCAGAAATGAATCCTGGGCTTTATAGGCTACCCCACGCGACCCCGTCTCTAGGGTCCGGAGCACAGGAACTGTCACCCCACAAAGCCCTGTCTCTAGGGTCCGGAGCACAGGCAGCTGTGAGGCGCAGGGATGTGCCTCAGGTTCACTGCAGAGCAGGACATCGGGACTCGGGTTCCAGAGGGCCTGGTATCCCCTGCGTTCGGATTTAGCCAGAGCAATTAATTAATTAACTTCATCAGCGCAACACTTGTGGCTGTGAGGTGTGTTATCTTCACCAAGGCAGTTGAGTGATCAGTTGTAAAAGCAGCATCCTGTGTATGTCCTTCCAAGAAGAAGGTGCAGCAGCCGTGCTGGAGCTTTCCGGACTTTCTCGAGGCCCGACGGAGCGTCTCCGGGACCGCGGCTTCGTTGGCGGACGTCCCTCCCCGGAAGGCGCGGCGTGGGGGCCGCCCGCGGGCGCGCGTGCCCCCGGCAGTGTGCGCTGCGCGCTGAGGTAGTTGGTTGTATGGTTTCGAATAATAACCCCCCCGGAGATAACTGTACAACCTTCTAGCTTTCCGCGCGGCGTCACCGTGGCAACGGAGGGCCGGCACGCGCGCCCCGCCGACAGCGGAGGAAGAGGAGGAGGAGGAGAGGAAGGCTCCTGTACCCACCCCGACCTGAATCTCCCCAGCTGTGGATCGGCAAGAGGAATAGGCCATGGCTCAGGTCCCTGTCCGTGCTCTGCGGTGACAGACTCTTGGGGCTCCTGCCAGCAGTGTTGAGGCTGGGGCTTCTCTGGGCTGCTGACCTTCTAAGCTTGTCATCATGGATTCCGAAAGATGACCTTTAGAGGACAGCACCAAGGGTCAGTGAGCCTTGTGTTGCGTGTTGGGCTGTGGGCGGTGTTGAGTGTGATGTTCAGCTGTGGGCGGGCGGTGTTGAGTGTGGTACTGGACTGAGGGTAGTCTTGAGTGCTGGGCTGTGGGCAGAGTTGAGTGTTGAGCTGCGGGAGGCGTTGAGTGTGGTGCTGGGATGTGGGTAATGATGAGTGTGGTTTTGAGCTGTGGGCAGTGTTAAGTGCTGGGCTGTGGGAGGTGCTGGGCTGTGGGCAATGTTGAGTGTGGTGTTGGGCTGTGGGCAGTGTTGAGTGTGGCGCTGGCTGTGGACAGTGTTGATTGTGGTGCTGGCTGTGGGCAGTGTGGAGTGTGGTGGTGGGCTGTGGGCAGTGTTGAGTGTTGGGCTGTGGGTAGTGTTGATTGTGGTGCTGGCTATGGGCAGTGTTGAGTGTTGGGCTGTGGGTAGTATTGAGTGTGGTGCTGGACTGTGGGCAGTGTTGAGTGTGGTTTTGAGCTGTGGGTAGTGTTGAGTGCTGGGCTGTGGGAGGTGTTGAGTGTGGTGTTGGGCTGTGGGCAGTGTTGAGTGTGGTGCTGGGCTGTGGGCAGTGTTGAGTGTTGGGCTGTGGGAGGTGTTGAGTGTGGTGCTGGCTGTGGGCAGTTTTGAGTGTTGGGCTGTGGGTAGTGTTGAGTGTGGTGCTGGCTGAGGGCGGTGTTGAGTGTGGTGCTGGGCTTTGGGCAGTATTGAGTGTGGTGCTGGCTGTGGGCAGTGATGAGTGTTGGGCTTTGAGTAATGTTGAGTGTGGTGCTGGCTGTGGGCAGTGTTGAGTGTTGGGCTGTGGGTAGTGTTGAGTGTGGTGCTGGCTGTGGCTACTGTTGAGTGTGGTGCTGGGCTGTGGGCAGTGTTGAGTGTGGTGCTGGCTGTGGGCAGTGATGAGTGTTGGGCTTTGAGTAATGTTGAGTGTGGTGCTGGCTGTGGGCAGTGTTGAGTGTGGTGCTGGCTGTGGGCGGTGTTGAGTGTGGTGCTGGCTGTGG